AATAATAGAGAAGTCACGTTGTAATAACAATAACTCATCTCTCTCGGTTCTTTTTCTGCTTTGCCAAAAGCCACTGTGTCAAGTGTCCTAGTAGAGTTGCCGTATGTAGTTGTTCAATATGGCGGACCATCTCGCACATGCGCAGTGCAGATCGGGCAGGGGGACAGATCGGGTAGTGACAGCCCCCACCACGTTGAATAAACATAAGGCTGCTTTTGTGGAGGAAGTTACAGCGCTACGTACAGGCTCGGCATATGTACTGCTATTTTGGATTGATTAGGACACATCCTGGGGATTGTGTTTACAAACATTGACCATACCGTTCACCATCCCCCACCCCCCTACTGTATGTTGATTTTTGACTTTGTTTGCCTACATGTAAATGGGTGGCATTTAGTACCTACCCCCCTCTGAGTGAATACCTGTTGTTAGTTAGTTAGATTTTAAAAGTCAATCTAAAACACATTTAATTTTAAACAAGTAAATACAATACATTTAAAACATGCAACATACATTACTGGGATACTTAAATAAAACAATTTAAAATACAGAACATTAAAACAAAACAAATAAAACAAAACAAAAGAACATGTTAAAACACAGGCAGTGGGTTGTAAGGAGCAGAAGATTGGGTCAGTGTTGGCAGAGCGTCTCCCCATCCCATTCAAATTCAAATTCTTGACTCAAAGAGCAGTGTTGCCTACAGTACATGTAAATGGATGGCATTGCCTATATGCATTTGAAAATAATTAGTACCCCCCTCTGAGTGACTACGTGTTGAGTTCACATCTTGACTTTACTTCCTGATTTTTGGAAGACAAGACTGACCCAAGATACCTGTACATAGTGGAAAGTGAAATTGTCAAATTTAAGAAAAATACAAAATAATGTTCACATTTGGGAACCAATTGGAAACATAGGACTCAATCTTTTGCTTCACATTGAGGGGAAGAGGCATTTTCCCATTGGTCCCAGTCCAGTTGGTTCACATCACCATTCTCCCATATGTTACAAATGGCTGTCTGGCGCTGTTTGTTTTTTTGACCTTTCAGATGTTGTTGTATAGCCTCTGGAGCAGAAATGAAAGAGTTTTAAAAATGTTTACGTTTTGGTAAGTTTTTAGGGAAATGTTGTAATATTGCAACGTTGGCCTTAGGTGGGAGCAGAATTTCTGTATTTCTACTCACATTGTCTGAATAAATATATTGAACAACTAAGGGTTAATTTGCAGGATTGATTGCTTACTTAGCCCTATATCAGTATATAGCATGAATAATAATCACACATCACTCATATTTGTTATGAATAATCATTTACCATTTATTAAATAGTAAGTCGCTTTGGATAAAAGCGTCAGCTAAATGCAATTTATGAAAGCCTCTTTTGAAAAACTAAGTCTTAGTTTGGCCATAGTTATTTAATATATAAAGACTATATATTATTGAATTACAAGATTAGATATACTTTATTTGATCTAAAATATTGATGTGTTCAAATGCTCTTCTAAACAAAACTGAAAGTCCATGAAAAGTTGTCTTTCTGTTTTTGTGAATGAAGCGCCATCTCCTGGTTAAATCCTGAAATTGAAAATCTGGCAACGCCCTCTTGGAAAATAGTGGGAGGGCTTAACATTCCCAGATACAGGTAGCAGGCAGGTAACTGGCAGGTAGCTGGCAGCAAGCTGTAAGCTGGAGTCTGAAATAAGCTGCTCCATCTGTACCCCTTGTTGTTAGCAGTGGAGCAATGATAGATATATAACATTGACCTTTGGTGGTAGTTATTTTATTACATGCACCCTCGGGTCATGGACAGTTATTGAGACACTACAGAAGCTTCGTGAGCCTCGAACAGTCACAATCTTTATAAAGGCACAAACAGCAAGTGATACGGCACTATACGACCGACCCAGGACATAAAAGATACAGTTTATAGTTTACGATTACAGCTGCACTTACAACTGCATTACAGCACTAAATATTACTGACATCTACTGTAATTCAGACGGCAAAATACTACTGCACCAACATGGCAATTCAGTCTTTTAATTATAACATATTTTAACATTAACACCTGTGATCATGCAGTTCACAACTCAAGTAGAATACATCATAAATACCTGAGTAAAGCAACACTGGGATGGAATAAGAAAAAGATAAATCAACACGGACATGTACCTACTGTATATTTCCCCTCACAGGTATTCTGCTGACTTTAACCTTGGTTAGGCACTTACGGTAGCTGTTAGCGTGGCAGGACTGAACCCCAAACTGTCCTTTACTAAGTCTGTGTGTACGTTTTATTAACTACAAGCTACTGTCAAACTAAGGATTTGCTATTTTGGAATATTAACACTGAGATTTTTCTTTAAATAAATGTATTTTACTTCGATATTCCCAGGTTAAATAACACAGTGGGATCGAGCGAATGACCCACTGATTCAAGTTTTTGCATTTGCAGAAATATAAACCACAGTCTGTGCCGACTTTCACAAAACGATCACAAAATCCAGATAAGCAGTAGAAGTTGGATAAAAACCAAAGTCAGCATTGACTCCTTTAAATATACGTCCATAACTTCAATAACAAACCAAACATATTTACTGTACGCCGTGATCTTCTTATTGGACATAACCATGGGAGTTTATACAGTGTAAACGCCATGTTTAAAACGGTCATAAACCGATTTCCAAATGGCTGTTTGGGAACATTTTTCCAGGAGACTTTCTCTGGCAAGCTAAATCCCAAAACACTTATTTTCGATGGACAGCGTGTTAACTGTTTGGGCGTTGTGGCCGCGAAGCGTATTGCAAATTCAGCAATTATCCCGTCATGCACACTGACCCAGAGAGAGTCAAAAGAGAGTCAACCAACTCTGATCTTCCTTTCTCGGGAGGTTTGACGAGACGAGCTGTATTACTTCATATCTGTATCACGTCTGTGGGAGAAAAACTAAGGTTTGCCATCTCATGATACAATCATTTCTTTAGGTGAATTGTTATTCTTTTGTAAAATCTGTTGAAAAAAACGTAGGTATTTTTTATATTCAGAAGGATTTTCTACAAAGTTGGTTTAAAACCTCTTTTTCAGTCTGAGCGGGTGATACATTAGCAAGCTAGCGTTAGATGTGTTAGCTGGTTGAGCGACGCAGCAGATACAGGGTACAAATATGTAGTTTTTTTGGCACGACCCCTTTAACATTTATGAGGCGTAAATCTCCGCTCGCTGCTCTCTTCACATTTAAAACTAATGCATGACCAAACCTGGACTTTAAGACACGTCTAAATAACAACATGCTGGTAGAAAACACATTCATAGATTCCCATTAAAGCCACACAACAAATCTTAACACATATTTTCTTTAGCTTTTTGCATATTTTTCTGTGTCTGCTATGATAAACCTGCAGAAATGGCAAATATTAAGAACGACAGGCTTTAGAAAAGACAGGCAGGACGGCTAGCAAGGACCTGGATGTTTGCACGATACGTTCAGGAAATGCAGTAAAGACGTGAAGACAGTTTCTGTTTCTGCAGCACGCTCCTCAGAACATCAATATGATGAGGGTAAGATCAGCCATGCTACAGGGTTAACACTGACTGTGGGGATCCCATGGTAACGGGGATCCCATGCTAACGGGGATCCCATGGTAACGGGGATCCCATGCTAACGGGGATCCCATGGTAATGGGGATCCCATGCTAACGGGGATCCCATTCTAACGGGGATCCCATGGTAACGGGGATCCCATGCTAACGGGGATCCCATGGTAACGGGGATCCCATGGTAACGGGGATCCCATGCTAACGGGGATCCCATGCTAACGGGGATCCCATGCTAATGGGGATCCCATGCTAACGGGGATCTCATGGTAATGGGGATCCCATGCTAACGGGGATCCCATGCTAACGGGGATCCCATGCTAACGGGGATCTCATGGTAATGGAGATCCCATGCTAACGGGGATCCCATGCTAACGGGGATCTGATGCTAACGGGGATCTCATGGTAACGGGGATCCCATGCTAACGGGGATCCCATGGTAACGGGGATCCCATGCTAACGGGGATCCCATGCTAACGGGGATCTCATGGTAATGGGGATCCCATGCTAACGGGGATCCCATGCTAACGGGGATCTGATGCTAACGGGGATCCGGCTACACACACCAAACAGCCTGCGATATGTTTGAAGAACCAGCACACGAACAGAGAAGAAACACAACCAGACTCCAGAGGACAGACAGCTAGCATCCGTTAGCATAGCATCACAAGGAGAGCTGGGCTGCGGTTGAATTGTCACTTTTGCTTACGAAGGCTCCTAACAGCTTCCTTTATAATCTCCTTCAGTTTAGGAAACACTGGACCATGCTTTAGGAAATCTACGGTGCTGATTCAGTGTTTAACAACTCATATCGTGACTTGCCTTGAAGGGCTTTGTTTGGAACGTTCATCCAGTTAACAAATCAAAAGGTGAAGTGTGACCGTTTCTCACAGAGATTAAGGAATAGTGGTTTGGAGAAGAGCTGATTCTCTAGATCAGGAGGGTCTAAACTACGGTCGACGGGCCATTTTGAATCGTCCCTCAGCAAATTCAAATTCAAAATTCAAAAATTAAACTTGTGCTTGTCTTATATTGTACTTCTTATTATATATATATATATGTAAACAGATATTACACAGTGGTATTCATGTATTCAAAGCCCACTTTTCAAATAAATTCAGTCAATTAAAACATTTAAATGTACGCTGATTCAGCTGTAACTTGCCAAAGGGCTTTGTTTGGAACGTTCTTCCAGGGAACAAATCAAAAGGTTAAGAAATAGTGGTTGGGAGAAGATGATCTGATTGTTGGACGATTGGACCGCAGCCCTGGTTGAGTTAGGGTTAATATTAGGGTTAGGGTTAATATTAGGGTTAGGGTTAGGTTAATATTAGGGTTAGGGTTAGGTTAATATTAGGGTTAGGGTTAATATTAGGGTTAGGGTTAGGTTAATATTAGGGTTAATATTAGGGTTAGGGTTAGGTTAATATTAGGGTTAATATTAGGGTTAATATTAGGGTTAGGCCTCACACGCTGCTGGGATGGTAGCAGAGCATGTTGAGCTGCAGGTTCTCGTCCCAGTGTCTCAGGATGATGAACAGCTGGTTGGCGGCGGCCTTCACGGACTCTAAATCTCGTCCTTCAGGGATTTCCTGTGCGCTCAGCCACGTGCTAGCCTTAGCCGCAGCTAGCTCCCACTCGATGAAATGGCTGGCCGAGCTGTGCTCCAGCCAGGCGAGCGCCACCGCCGTTCCCCAAATCAGACTCTCCGGATCCAGCCTCCTGGGCGACGATGTGTCCACGGAGCCCCGACCGCTGTCCGTCTGGGAGTGAAAGATAAGATAAGCTTTATTGATCCCAATTTGGGAAATGTTTGTGTTGCAGCAGCATAAAAAGACATGGCATTGTACAAAACAAATTAAAAGACTAGAAATAAACAAGAAAGTAGAAAATATACATGTTGTCTTTTGATTGTGTATATATAGGTATATATTGTATTTCGATCTCTCTGTCTGTACACACAAACTGAAAGATTGGCAATAAAGTTGACTTTGAAATGTACAGTAACAAAATATAAAGCAAGTTATTATAAATACATGAGTATGAAGGGACGCCTGGGGCTCGGTGCAGAGACTCCCTGATGACGGGGGGTCATGAGGCGGGCTGAACTCTGGGTCTCTCTGGGGGGCCAGGCTGCTGAACTCTGGGTCTCTCTGGGGGGCCATGCTGCTGAACTCTGGGTCTCTCTGGGGGGCCAGGCTGTTTCGATGGCTGCTGAACGGAGACGTCCACTTCAGCTTCTCCATGGGAACGCTGGTAGCGAAGCACAGCGCGGCGTCCAGAGGAAACGCCCCGCTGGCTAACTGCAGCAACACCTGCACACAGGAAACAGGAAACAACTGTATTCTCTATGGCTTACTCTTATTATTCATATTATTTAGAAACATCAATAACGGTCTATGATATAATCCTATTCTGTATTCTCTCTGTATTATACTGTGTTCTTTATACCTGATATGTTTATACCTCCTGTCACAGCTGGAGGGCAAGGTACACAAGACCCAAATGCAGAAGATTGGTTGAAATCTAAAATCCTTTAATTGCGGAACCAGGCCAAACATTACATCCGTCAGAACAAAATCCTTCCAACGACTTCAAGACTCACACAAAGACTGACAGAAGAACCAGAACTTAAATGCACACAATACTAATCACAAGAACAAGACACAGGTGGGGAGGGAGGAGAAAACACAGAGACAGGAAGCAAGACGGGGGTGAACGCTTTTCAAACTAAAACAGGAAACCAAAGACAGATGAAAATAAAACAGGGAAAACCAATAGGATCATAACACCTCCTTCTACTGTCCATAGTGTAAGAACTGTCAGATGAATATTTATATTATATTGTGAATACATCGGCCTATTTTCCACCTGTAAGTGCTAACTGCAGTTTGTTGTCTCAGTACTTGTACTATGAAATACTGCAGTAAACGGAGGAGGTAGGTTAAAGGAAATGAATGCATTTTGTCTCACATTTGAAACCCTGTGAGTTTCTCTTCTGTTAATGGTTTTATATTTACTTATTCATGCAAAGCAATAAGAGGTGAGGGCTTGATGTTTAAAACACCCTTTGTTCATGACTTCCTGCTGCAAACAGCCGCTGGTTGTCCTTAAAGAAAGAGAGCATTATTATTCGACCTGCAGGAGGCTTTGAATCTGACAGCGATGAATAAAACATGTGTTGTCGTGCGCCGGGTAATCAGAGCCTCAGATACACAGGCTGTCTATAACTGGACGTTTCTTTTGTTGCTGCAGGAGGACATGTTGTCATGTCAGCAGGACGCTCAGGTGGGAAACATCCGGATATATCCACTGCTGTGTCTCAGGTCCTGGGTCTGTGCAGATCGTTAGTGGAGCTGAGACTCAGAGAGACGTCTGCTGTGTCTCAGGTCCTGGGTCTGTGCAGGTCGTTAGTGGAGCTGAGACTCAGAGAGACGTCTGCTGTGTCTCAGGTCCTGGGTCTGTGCAGGTCGTTAGTGGAGCTGAGACTCAGAGAGACGTCTGCTGTGTCTCAGGTCCTGGGTCTGTGCAGATCGTTAGTGGAGCTGAGACTCAGAGAGACGTCTGCTGTGTCTCAGGTCCTGGGTCTGTGCAGGTCGTTAGTGGAGCTGAGACTCAGAGAGACGTCTGCTGTGAGGAGTACGAGCTCAGAAAGCAGTCAGATCTAGAGTTCATGTCACGATCATTATACGACTACAATGCATGGTCAGTTTTGGAGTTAATGAATAGTTCAATATGAAGTGAATCTGAAGGAAATCATTGTTTAAATTGCACCTGAAACAGGTCGGTGGTGACAGAGCATGTTTCTGCATCTCTCTGGGTCTGTGATCTGTGCTGCTCTCTCGCTCATTTTAAACTGCAAGAAACAAACTTTCTGAAAACCCTGACCAAAGGTTCTCTTTGAAACTATATACAAGTTCTTAGATTGCTGTAATCCACCGCTGACATTTGTATTACCTTCATATTATCTATTTATCCATAAGGGACTGGACACACTCGGGTTGTTCTGCAAAGGTTTTGTTGGGTCCGTTAAGCTTGCACGACGCAGCCCTCCCTCTAAACCAATCAGAAGAGCAGCTGCTTATTGCCCCCATCCCTTTCAGCGTGTTGTGATGAAACTGGAGCAGTTTGTTGGGGCAGTTTGTTGGGGTAGTTTCAGTTTGTTGGGGCAGTTTGTTGGGGCAGTTTGTTGGGTAGTTTTGTTGGGGCAGTTTGCTGGGGTAGTTTCAGTTTGTTGGGGCAGTTGGTTGGGGCAGTTTGTTGGGGTAGTTTCAGTTTGTTGGGGCAGTTTGCTGGGGCAGTTTGTTGGGGCAGTTTGTTGGGGCAGTTTCAGTTTGCTGGGGCAGTTTGTTGGGGCAGTTTCAGTTTGTTGGGGCAGTTTGTTGGGGCAGTTTGTTGGGGCAGTTTGTTGGGGCAGTTTGTTGGGGGCAGTTTCAGTTTGTTGGGGCAGTTTGTTGGGGCAGTTTGTTGGGGCAGTTTCAGTTTGTTGGGGCAGTTTGTTGGGGCAGTTTGTTGGGGCAGTTTCAGTTTGTTGGGGCAGTTTGTTGGGGCAGTTTCAGTTTGTTGGGGCAGTTTCAGTTTGTTGGGGCAGTTTCAGTTGTTGGGGAAGTTTGTTGGGGCAGTTTGTCGGGCAGTTTGTTGGGGCAGTTTGTTGGGGGCAGTTTCAGTTGTTGGGGCAGTTTTGTTGGGGCAGTTTGTTGGGGCAGTTTCAGTTTGTTGGGGCAGTTTGTTGGGGCAGTTTCAGTTTGTTGGGGCAGTTTCAGTTTGTTGGGGCAGTTTGTTGGGGCAGTTTGTTGGGGCAGTTTGTTGGGGCAGTTTCAGTTTGTTGGGGCAGTTTGTTGGGGCAGTTTGTTGGGGCAGTTTGTTGGGGCAGTTTGTTGGGGCAGTTTCAGTTTGTTGGGGAAGTTTCAGTTTGTTGGGGCAGTTTCAGTTTGTTGGGGCAGTTTGTTGGGGCAGTTTGTTGGGGCAGTTTGTTGGGAGCAGTTGTTGGGGGCAGTTTCAGTTTGTTGGGGCAGTTTGTTGGGGCAGTTTGTTGGGGCAGTTTCAGTTTGTTGGGGCAGTTTGTTGGGGCAGTTTGTTGGGGCAGTTTGTTGGGGCAGTTTGTTGGGGCAGTTTCAGTTTGTTGGGGAAGTTTCAGTTTGTTGGGGCAGTTTCAGTTTGTTGGGGCAGTTTGTTGGGGCAGTTTCAGTTTGTTGGGGAAGTTTCAGTTTGTTGGGGAAGTTTCAGTTTGTTGGGGCAGTTTCAGTTTGTTGGGGCAGTTTGTTGGGGCAGTTTGTTGGGGCAGTTTGTTGGGGCAGTTTCAGTTTGTTGGGGAAGTTTCAGTTTGTTGGGGAAGTTTCAGTTTGTTGGGGCAGTTTCAGTTTGTTGGGGCAGTTTCAGTTTGTTGGGGCAGTTTGTTGGGCAGTTTCAGTTTGTTGGGGCAGTTTGTTGGGGCAGTTGTTGGGCAGTTTCAGTTTGTTGGGGCAGTTTGTTGGGGCAGTTTGTTTGGGGCAGTTTGTTGGGGCAGTTTGTTGGGGCAGTTTCAGTTTGTTGGGGCAGTTTCAGTTTGTTGGGGAAGTTTCCAGTTTGTGGGGCAGTTTCAGTTTTGTTGGGGAAGTTGTTGGGGCAGTTGTTGGGGCAGTTGTTGGGCAGTTGGGCAGTTAGTTTGTTGGGGCAGTTTCAGTTTGTTGGGGCAGTTTCAGTTTGTTGGGGCAGTTTGTTGGGGCAGTTTGTTGGGGCAGTTTGTTGGGGCAGTTTCAGTTTGTTGGGGAAGTTTGTTGGGGCAGTTTGTTGGGGCAGTTTGTTGGGGCAGTTTCAGTTTGTTGGGGCAGTTTCAGTTTGTTGGGGCAGTTTGTTGGGGCAGTTTGCTGGGGCAGTTTGTTGCAATAAATACCTTTAATATAGCAGCCCCAGTGTGTCCCTCCCTGAATGTGACTATTCACTATCGTTGTCCCTGAAGGCACCACAGGCCGCAGCAGACTGCAGGGAGTGAACCAGAACACAGTGGATGCTGAGAGGACAGGTAGAGGACAGGTAGAGGACAGGTAGAGGACAGGTAGAGGACAGGTAGAGGACAGGTAGAGGACAGGTAGAGGACAGGTAGAGGACAGGTAGAGGACAGGTAGAGGACAGGTAGAGGACAGGTAGAGGACAGGCAAAGGACGAAGGCTGCAGGGTGAATAAAGATAAAGTCATGCCAGATGAACTGGTTCTACTTTTCTTTTGTTCATTAACATGTTTGATTGTTATTTGCCAATTTCCTGATAAATAAGAAAGACTTTTGCTCTTTCATCCCAGCAAATAATGTTTTAATTTGTGCTCCGTGAACCCAAACCAACCTAAATATGGGTAAGAAACCTTAAAGCATCCACTACGCCTGTGTCTTCTAATGCTTCCTAACAACCCATATCTCTTTGTCTCCGGTCAGATCTGCCGCTCACCAGAGGAATGTAGTCTTTGTTCTCGTTGTCGCTCTCTCCCATCGAGTCTCCAGACTTGCTGTGCGATCGACACATGAAGCCTTTAGCCGCTCGAGTCAGGAGGCGCGTCCTGCTGAGAGCCAATCTGAGGGGGGGGGGGGGGGGGGGGGGGACAGCATGGAGAACACAACACTGTCACATGGCGTCTGCTGGGAAGCACTGTTGTTACCCTCCATCCTTCAACACAAACCTCTCCAGGCAGATGCTCTGGTTATGTCAGAAAATAATCTCTGTGTCAAACAAACGTTTAGTTCAGCAGGATCTTCTCCACATTAACAACACTTTACCATTCCTGAAGTACAAAGCTAACGCTAGGCTATAAAGGAACTACAGCACGCTCACATGACTTCACGTCTCCACCGCTAACACTAATTTTATGGGAGTAGTTGAATGCATCACCCACCTGGCAGAAAAAATGCTCTCCACTGATTTCTGTGATTGGTCGGAGGTGACGGAGGGACTCCTCTGGCAGACTGAAGACACACAGAGACATTTTAATGTGGAACAATGTTAGTGTGTATCTTGCATTGTGACACAGTCCTGCTGTCTCCTTTTGGGAAACAGATGAGCTCCATGGGGCTAACATAGCATTGTTAATAAAGGTTTAATAGTGAAATAAAGCTGTGTTTCCGTACCCTCGGTGAAGCTGCAGCGCTCCCAGCCGGCGGAGGACGGCGTGCTGCACGGAGACGCCCCGTCCTCTCCGTCTGAAACACAGAATAAACAAGAATTAATCTCAGCTTCACCCGCTATCGTTTCCTCTTTTTATTCCAAACTCAACCTGATGTTTCCACACAGAGGCAGCAGGTCTCTTGCTCTTCTGCCCGGCTGCGCTCTCTTTATTTTAGGCTTTGTTTGAATCTGTGCTCAGCTTCTCTCTCTGTTGTTGCTACGCTCTGAAAACAGTCTGCGCCCAGCAGGAGGCCGATGGTCCTCACGGAGACCTCAACACGCTGCAACGCTAACGTTTCATAAAGACAGACGCATATAAACTCATAAAACCTCATACCGTCTCTCAGAATATGAAATCCGTCTACTTTTAGTCCATGGGGGTGTGGAGATATACAGATATATGGAAGATAACTCAGGTATTTTGAGTACAGATATTGAGAATTGATAATATTGTGTAACTAATCCAGCGCCTCAAATGTCTTGCATTGTCTAACTTGTGAATTTGGCTGTGATTTTTATTCTAAACACATCTTGACGAGATGGTTATCGTTAAGTATTTGGGCTCCCTTTATCACAGTAACAGTAAATCCTTCTGTTCCTCCAGCTCTCTTATTCTTATTGTTGGTCGGTGGTGTGGATCCTGCTGCTGTTTGCCTCCTTGAATGTGATCTGAATATTGATCTGGTCATACTGTTGATCAGGAAGTCCTCAGCGTCCTCAGAAACTCCTCCGGACTGCGAGCGTCCGAGCCCCACGGAGTACCCTCGGTTCTTCCTGCTCCCGGAGCGAGAGCTGGACCGGGACCCCCTCTTCAGACCCTCCCCTGGACACAGGAAGGAGATCCCTTTAGTTTCAGCTGGATGTTGAAACACAGGTAACGGATGTTCAAAGTCTTCCTCACCTGCGTTTGAGTACTCGATGCAGGTGTGCAGGTACTCGTTGGTGTCCAGGTCGATGGGAACGAACGCCGTGTGTTTGCTCAGGATGTTGCAGGACTTGCTGGTGTGGATCGCAAACAGCTGGTACTTCCTGCCAGGACCTGGGGGGTGTAGTGAGCAGAAAACAAAACATTTCATCACAAAAATACAGTTTTACATATCAGCATCGCTCCATGGATACATCATACACTACTGATACATTAAATACAGCTGGAAGAGCGTGTAAGCACCTTCTGTTGGGATTTACACAATGACATACTCCTTAGTGTCTGTTAAATATGGAGCTGCAGCCAGTTAGCGTAGCCTAGTGTAGCCTAGCGTAGCCTAGCATGATTTACGCGCCAGGTTGAGGTAAAAACATATCAACCTAATCGTTTCCCTTTTTTAATTTGCTGGATGGTACAAAAATCATCTCCTTTGATCAGATCAAACAGAATTCAATCTCTTAGTGGGATGCAAGATCTACTTTTAAGGCTAACCAGAAAATAAATGTACGTATTGTTTTATCCGACTGTCATAAAAGTCACTCCCTTATATAAAACTGTGTTTGTAAGGAAGTTTTCTCATGGGTTACAGGCCCAGTTTTAATCATTTGGTTAATGGAAGGCAAAATAAAAACTTCCCAGCTAGAAATGTTTGGTTCTAAAAACATTCTGAGAATGATACATTCATTGTTCTAGGAATGTTTTCAGCGGGAAGTTTTCTTTTGGTTCCCAGAACGTTCTTCTGAAAGGTAGGATAACGTTCTCTAAAAACATTCTTAAAATGTTTGGTGATAACCGTCTTAAAATGTTTGGTGATAACCTTCTTAAAATGTTTTTGATAACCTTCTTAAGATGTTTTTGATAACATTGTTAGAACATTATGCCCTACTGTTCTTAAAATGTTTAAAATAAAACGTCCCGCTGAAAACGTTTTAAGAACAGTAGGGCATAATGTTCTAACAATGTTATCAAAAACATCTTAAGAAGGTTATCAAAGGCAAGGCAAGGCAAGGCAAGGCAAGTTTATTTATATAGCACCTTTCAACACAAGGTAATTCAAAGTGCTTTACAAAAATGGAAGACATTTTAAAAATGGCATTTAAAATCAGTCATTAAAAAGGAAAGATAATAAAATAAACATTAAAAGAAAAAATACATGGATAAAAGTTAAAAGTTACAGTGCAGTTTAAGATGTGAATAGTTCAATTAAAAGCAGCGGCAAAAAGAAAAGTCTTCAGCCTGGATTTAAAAGTAGTAAGAGTTGCAGCGGACCTGCAGGTTTCTGGGAGTTTGTTCCAGATATTCGGAGCATAATAACTGAATGCTGCTTTACCATGTTTAGTTCTGACTCTGGGGACAGAAAGTTGACCAGTCCCTGAAGACCTGAGGGTTCTGGATGGTTCATAATTTAGCAGTAGGTCAGACATGTATTTTGGGCCTAAACCATTCAAAGCTTTATAAACCAGCAACAATATTTTGAAATCTATTCTTTGACACACAGGAAGCCAGTGTAAAGACTTCAGAACAGGAGTGATGTGATCCACTTTCTTAGTGTTAGTGAGGACTCGAGCAGCGGCGTTCTGAATTAGCTGCAGCTTTCTAATAGATTTTTTAGTGAGACCTGTAAAGACACCATTGCAGTAGTCGAGTCTACTGAAGATAAAAGCATGGACAAGTTTTTCCAAATCCTGCTGTGACATTAGTCTTTTAATCCTAGATATGTTCTTTAGGTGATAGTAGGCTGATTTAGTAACTGTTTTAATGTGACTATTGAAACTCAGGTCAGAGTCCATGACTACACCTAGATTTCTGGCTTTATCTGTTGTTTTGAACATTGCAGACTGAAGCTCAGCGCTAACTTTTATACGTTCTGCCTTGGCTCCAAAAACCATTACCTCAGTTTTATCTTTGTTTAATTGGAGAAAGTTCTGACACATCCAGTCATTGATTTGTTCAATGCACTTACTCAGTGTTTGAATTGGAGCATAGTCTCCTGGTGAAATTGTTACGTAAATTTGTGTGTCATCCGCATAGCTATGGTAACTTATTTTGTTCTTTTTCATTATCTGAGCCAGTGGTAGCATGTAGATGTTAAAGAGAAGAGGCCCCAAGATGGAGCCTTGAGGTACCCCACATGTCATATTTGTCAACTCAGATGTGTATTTACCTATAGAAATAAAGTTTTTTTCTGTCCTTTAAGTAGGACTCAAACCAATTTAGAACTGTTGCCGAAAGTCCCACCCAGTTTTCTAGTCGGTCTAGTAATATGTTGTGGTCAACAGTGTCAAATGCAGCACTGAGATCTAATAATACTAACACTGAAGTTCTGCCACTGTCTGTGTTTAAGTGGATGTCATTGAAGACCTTTACAAGAGCAGTCTCAGTGCTGTGGTTTGGACGAAATCCTGACTGGAACACATCCAAACAGTTATTTAAATGCAAGAAGTTACTCAACTGTTGAAATACTACTTTTTCAATGATTTTACCTAGAAATGGCAGGTTTGATATTGGCCTGTAATTGTTCATTACTGAGGCATCTAGATTATTCTTTTTTAAGAGCGGTTTAATGACTGCAGTTTTCAGGGCCTCTGGAAAAATACCTGAGTGAAGAGATGTGTTTACTATATGAAGTAGATCTGAGGCCATGCAAGGAAAAACATCTTTGAAAAATCCTGTTGGAATAATATCAAGGCAGCAGGAGGAGGATTTCAGAAGTTGAATAATGTCCTCTAAGTTTTTACCATTAATCTGATGGAATTGTGTCATGGTGTTTGAATTGATATTAGGTGGACATAGGGACAAAACATTTGCTGTACCTGATGTAGAGGCACTGACTGCTTGTCTAATTTTCTGAATTTTGTCAGTGAAGAAGGAGGCAAAATCATTGCACGCCCTGGTGGATAGAAATTCAGAGGCTACTGACACTGGGGGGTTAGTTAGTCTGTCGACGGTAGCAAACAAGGCACGTGCGTTGTTTTTGTTTTTGGTAATGATGTCAGAGAAGAAAGACTGTCGTGCGTTTTTCAATTCCAAATTATAAAGGCCAAGTCTCTCTTTATAGATTTCAAAGTGAACCTGGAGATTTGTTTTTCGCCACCTACGTTCAGCTTTTCGACACTCTCTTTTTTCTGTTCTCACGGTCATGGCCTTTCTCCATGGAGATATTTTCTTGCTAATCACTTCCTTTACCTTAGTTGGAGCAATGGTATCTATAACATTTTTAATTTTTGAATTAAAATGATCTACTAGCTCATTTACTGAGATGTTAGCAGGGGCAAGTGTGGATGAGAAATTATGAGTAAACATTTCCCTAGTATTTTCAGTTAAATATCGCTTTGTGGTTACCTCTTTCTGAACATTTTTGTGAACAGAAATAGAGCTCTCAAAGAAAACACAGGAATGATCAGAGAGTGCAACATCAGTCACCACAACCTTTGAGATATTCAGACCCTTTGAGATAATTAAGTCCAGAGTGTGCCCCTTGTTGTGCGTGGGCTCCGCCACATGCTGAGTCAGTCCATAGTTATCAAGAACACAAAACAGTTCTTTAGCCCCTCTGTCCTAACAAAAACATTTTAAGAAGGTTATCACCAAACATTTCCAGAATGTTTTTAAAGAACGTTATCCTACCTTTCAGAAGAACAGTCTGGGAACCAAACTAAAACGTCCTGCTGAAAACGTTTTAAGAACAGTAGGGCATAATGTTCTAACAATGTTATCAAAAACATCTTAAGAAGGTTATCACCAAACATTTCAATAATGTTTTTAAAGAACGTTATCCTACCTTTCAGAAGAACAGTCTGGGAACCAAAATAAAACGTCCCGCTGAAAACATTCCTAGAACAACGAATGGTAACAAACATTTCTAGCTGGGAACTCACACATGGCACCGCAAACATGCAATATCTGCTTACAGCTTATCATTAATTAAGTGCTTGTTTGTTTTTTTCAAAAGGAAAATATGGTGACATCAGATTTTTTTTAAAACATCCTTTTCAAACAAATGCAACAAGTTTGTTTTTTAAAGCGCTCTAGAAATAAATCTGACGTTGACCATGACCGTGTTAATATTTGCCATCACAGGAACGTTTTATAAAAAAAGAATAACATCCTGAAAACATTTTCAGAATGTTGCTTTCAAAATGTTCTTCATTTGTTATCATGTAACATTGAGGGAACGTTTTATAAAGAACATCTTTAATGTGTTACCCAACAACGTCCAAAACACATCCTTAGAATGTTGCAGGCAAAACGTTCCACCTTTGTTAACATATCACGTTAAAGGAACGTTTTATAAAAAAAACTTTCTGTCATCTCAGGCCTCAATAACATCCTCAAAACATCCTCTGAATGTTGCAGTTAAAACGTTATGTCTTAGTTAACCTTAAACCTTATAGGAACATTATTTGAACAAATAAACATCCTTTAAAATGTTCTTTGAACATCAGATTAAAACGTTTCTTTAAAACCTTATTAGAACCAATAGGTAACGTTAGCCAAAATTGTGAGAACGTTCCCCGCTAGCTGGGTTGGTTATTCCAAAAAGAAAGATCATGTTCTGAAAACAATTACGTTTGAAAGAAAATGTAAGTTATGAAGTTTATAGCCACGTCTGGTGCAGAGTGACTCAAAGTAATTCAAATGAACCTTGCAATATAAGAAACATATAATTCAGAGATTAAGATTACCCTTTAAGTTTACCCAAACATTATTTTAATTAATATTTCTTTTCCTTAAAATGTAGAAATCGGTTGAAAAAATCCAGAAAGCCGAAAATGTTCCTTTTCGATTGTATTTCTCTAAAGTCTACTATTCTGTATTCCTCTAAAGTCTACTGTTCTGTATTCCTCTAAAGTCTACTATTCTGTATTCCTCTAAAGTCTACTGTTCTGTATTCCTCTAAAGTCTACTATTCTGTATTCCTCTAAAGTCTACTGTTCTGTATTCCTCTAAAGTCTACTATTCTGTATTTCTCTAAAGTCTACTATTCTGTATTTCTCTAAAGTCTACTGTTCTGTATTCCTCTAAAGTCTACTATTCTGTATTTCTCTAAAGTCTACTATTCTGTATTCCTCTAAAGTCTACTATTCTGTATTCCTCTAAAGTCTACTGTTCTGTATTCCTCTAAAGTCTACTATTCTGTATTCCTCTAAAGTCTACTATTCTGTATTCCTCTAAAGTCTACTATTCTGTATTCCTCTAAAGTCTACTGTTCTGTATTTCTCTAAAGTCTACTATTCTGTATTCCTCTAAAGTCTACTATTCTGTATTCCTCTAAAGTCTACTATTCTGTATTTCTCTAAAGTCTACTATTCTGTATTCCTCTAAAGTCTACTATTCTGTATTTCTCTAAAGTCTACTATTCTGTATTCCTCTAAAGTCTACTGTTCTGTATTCATCTAAAGTCTACTATTCTGTATTTCTCTAAAGTCTACTATTCTGTATTTCTCTAAAGTCTACTGTTCTGTATTTCTCTAAAGTCTACTGTATTCTGCTTCTTTACCTAATTATTTATTATGCACGTCTTTTAAAAAATATGTTAGACTACTTTTCTACTGGGCAATAATTTAAAAATATCTCTATATTCAACATGTCAGCTACTCTTTGTTATTGTCAGATTTATTTTGCCTGCTATGTCCTTGTGGCTGTAACGCTGTACATGTCCCCGCTGCGGGACTCGAAGGAATTATGATTCATTATTCTCTTTATCTGTCTGTCTCTTTATCTGTCCGTCTCTTTATCTGTCCGTCTCTTTATCTGTCTGTCTCTTTATCTGTCTGTCTCTTTATCTGTCTGTCTCTTTATCTGTCTGTCTCTTCATCTGTCCGTCTCTTTATCTGTCCGTCTCTGTCTCTTCATCTGTCCGTCTCTTCATCTGTCCGTCTCTTTATCTGTCCGTCTCTTCATCTGTCCGTCTCTTTATCTGTCTGTCTCTTCATCTGTCCGTCTCTGTCTCTTCATCTGTCCGTCTCTTTATCTGTCCGTCTCTGTCTCTTTATCTGTCCGTCTCTGTCTCTTCATCTGTCCGTCTCTTCATCTGTCCGTCTCTTCATCTGTCCGTCTCTTCATCTGTCCGTCTCTGTCTCTTCATCTGTCCGTCTCTGTCTCTTCATCTGTCCGTCTCTTTATCTGTCCGTCTCTGTCTCTTCATCTGTCCGTCTCTTCATCTGTCCGTCTCTTTATCTGTCCGTCTCTGTCTCTTCATCTGTCCGTCTCTGTCTCTTCATCTGTCCGTCTCTGTCTCTTCATCTGTCCGTCTCTTTATCTGTCCGTCTCTGTCTCTTCATCTGTCCGTCTCTTCATCTGTCCGTCTCTTTATCTGTCCGTCTCTTCATCTGTCCGTCTCTTTATCTGTCTGTCTCTTCATCTGTCTGTCTCTTCATCTGTCTGTCTCTTTATCTGTCCGTCTCTGTCTCTTTATCTGTCTGTCTCTTCATCTGTCTGTCTCTTTATCTGTCCGTCTCTGTCTCTGTCCGTCTCTTTATCTGTCTGTCTCTTTATCTGTCCGTCTCTTCATCTGTCCGTCTCTTTATCTGTCCGTCTCTGTCTCTTCATCTGTCCGTCTCTTCATCTGTCCGTCTCTTTATCTGTCCGTCTCTTCATCTGTCCGTCTCTTCATCTGTCTGTCTCTTCATCTGTCTGTCTCTTCATCTGTCTGTCTCTTTATCTGTCCGTCTCTGTCTCTTTATCTGTCTGTCTCTTCATCTGTCTGTCTCTTTATCTGTCCGTCTCTGTCTCTGTCCGTCTCTTTATCTGTCTGTCTCTTTATCTGTCCGTCTCTTTATCTGTCTGTCTCTTTATCTGTCCGTCTCTTTATCTGTCCGTCTCTGTCTCTTTATCTGTCTGTCTCTTTATCTGTCCGTCTCTTTATCTGTCCGTCTCTGTCTCTTTATCTGTCTGTCTCTTTATCTGTCCATCTCTGTCTCTTTATCTGTCTGTCTCTTCATCTGTCTGTCTCTTTATCTGTCCGTCTCTGTCTCTGTCCGTCTCTTTATCTGTCTGTCTCTTCATCTGTCTGTCTCTTTATCTGTCTGTCTCTTTATCTGTCTGTCTCTTCATCTGTCTGTCTCTTCATCTGTCTGTCTCTTTATCTGTCCGTCTCTTTATCTGTCCGTCTCTGTCTTTTTATCTGTCTGTCTCTTCATCTGTCTGTCTCTGTCTCTTTATCTGTCCGTCTCTGTCTCTTCATCTGTCCGTCTCTTTATCTGTCCGTCTCTGTCTCTTCATCTGTCCGTCTCTTCATCTGTCCGTCTCTTTATCTGTCCGTCTCTTCATCTGTCCGTCTCTTTATCTGTCTGTCTCTTCATCTGTCTGTCTCTTCATCTGTCTGTCTCTTTATCTGTCCGTCTCTGTCTCTTTATCTGTCTGTCTCTTCATCTGTCTGTCTCTTTATCTGTCCGTCTCTGTCTCTGTCCGTCTCTTTATCTGTCTGTCTCTTTATCTGTCCGTCTCTTTATCTGTCCGTCTCTGTCTCTTTATCTGTCTGTCTCTTTATCTGTCCGTCTCTTTATCTGTCCGTCTCTGTCTCTTTATCTGTCTGTCTCTTTATCTGTCCGTCTCTTTATCTGTCTGTCTCTGTCTCTTTATCTGTCTGTCTCTTCATCTGTCTGTCTCTTCATCTGTCTGTCTCTTTATCTGTCCGTCTCTGTCTCTTTATCTGTCTGTCTCTTCATCTGTCTGTCTCTTTATCTGTCCGTCTCTGTCTCTGTCCGTCTCTTTATCTGTCTGTCTCTTTATCTGTCCGTCTCTTTATCTGTCCGTCTCTGTCTCTTTATCTGTCTGTCTCTTTATCTGTCCGTCTCTTTATCTGTCCGTCTCTGTCTCTTTATCTGTCTGTCTCTTTATCTGTCCGTCTCTTTATCTGTCCGTCTCTGTCTCTTTATCTGTCTGTCTCTTTATCTGTCCGTCTCTGTCTCTTTATCTGTCTGTCTCTTCATCTGTCTGTCTCTTCATCTGTCTGTCTCTTTATCTGTCCGTCTCTGTCTCTTTATCTGTCTGTCTCTTCATCTGTCTGTCTCTTTATCTGTCCGTCTCTGTCTCTGTCCGTCTCTTTATCTGTCTGTCTCTTCATCTGTCTGTCTCTTTATCTGTCTGTCTCTTTATCTGTCTGTCTCTTCATCTGTCTGTCTCTTCATCTGTCTGTCTCTTTATCTGTCCGTCTCTTTATCTGTCCGTCTCTGTCTTTTTATCTGTCTGTCTCTTCATCTGTCTGTCTCTGTCTCTTCATCTGTCTGTCTCTTTATCTGTCCGTCTCTGTCTCTTTATCTGTCTGTCTCTTCATCTGTCTGTCTCTTCATCTGTCTGTCTCTTTATCTGTCCGTCTCTGTCTCTTCATCTGTCTGTCTCTTCATCTGTCTGTCTCTTCATCTGTCTGTCTCTTCATCTGTCTGTCTCTTCATCTGTCTGTCTCTTCATCTGTCTGTCTCTTTCTCTGTCCGTCTCTTTATCTGTCCGTCTCTTTATCTGTCTGTCTCTTCATCTGTCTGTCTCTTCATCTGTCTGTCTCTTTATCTGTCCGTCTCTGTCTCTTCATCTGTCTGTCTCTTCATCTGTCTGTCTCTTCATCTGTCTGTCTCTTTCTCTGTCCGTCTCTTTATCTGTCCGTCTCTTTATCTGTCTGTCTCTTTATCTGTCTGTCTCTTCATCTGTCTGTCTCTTTATCTGTCTGTCTCTTTATCTGTCCCAGTCTAAATGTCCCTGCTGTGGGACAGACGGAGTATTTCTGGTTAATAATAAACGGTGGACCCGGTGCTCACCGTGCTCGATCTCGCTCTCGGCGTCGGCCATGTTCTCGAAGTCTCTGATGATGGATCTGCCGGCCAGGTGGTGGAAGGTCTCGTTCCAGAGTTCCTCGTGAACCTTCTCTTCTCGCTCGCGCCCGCTGAGGAACGGCTCGATGTCGAACACGACCTCCCAGCTGGCCGGGCGTCCGCTCAGCAGGCCGGACACCACGGCTTTGCAGTCAGCTGACCCCAGGTCTGAGGCCTGGACCTCCTGGGGGGTTTCTGCCTGGACCAGCTGATGGCCGTACCCGTCTGGAACAACACAACGCCTTCATATACTCCAGCTTGCACGGACTCAATATATATACTGTATATATATTTATACACATTCAAACATATTTGTACTCAAACCGATATATTCCTGCACTTTAACTTTATCTGCATATTGAAGTCTGAATGCTTGTTGTTTGTATGTTGTTTTTCTTCTGAATGTGTACGTCTCTTGTTTGTTTGTTTGTTTGTATTTTTGATGGCACCTTAAAAAAAAGGAGTAGCTCTACTCATCTCATTGTATACCTGAATAATGACAATAAAGGATTCTATAAATCCTACAATAAAGCGGGACAGTGAAGTGTTCTCCGTGAGAGGGCGATCAAGAGAAGAGAGCGAGCGGCCCGTTGAGGGAGTTTATGGATGGAAAGACGCAGAAAGACAGAAGCACAATAACAACAAGTAGGCTATATTTAGGTGTTTTTTTGTAAATAACCGACGGTGTCAAGGGGAAGTAAAGTCCCCTGGTTTGTCCCCTATCCTCTAACTGCCATGAGAAAATACAAAATCAATATAAGCATATTTAAAAACGGGGACATTCCCGGGGACAGATTGACCCGGGGGTTGGCCTCCAAAGCGTGGCACATGGCATGATCCCTCAGTGTGGTGAAGGACGCAGTGACAGAGAGCTTTTACTGCAGCCTCAGCAGAAAGTGATCAGAAATGTCTCTTGATAGAATAACTTCAACACACAGCACACTTCAGAGGACTTTCCTTTGCTTCCAGCTGTCAGATTGTAAACAAAGTCCCGTGACTGGGGGCAGATGACAGCGCTGACAAGGTGTGTTTCCCGCAGCGAGGCGCTACAATACTCATTGTGGGCTTATCATGTTGATTCGGCCAACAAAAAAAAAAAAAAACTCTCGCTCTCTCCAGAGCCAAAAAGGGCAAACGGGCTGTTGCCTGGGCAACATGAGCCCGTACATGTGGAGTGTACTCTCTGCTGGAAGGGATCTCCAATAATAATTATAATCGAAAAAAGTGCCGGCTTTTCTGCTCCTGATTCATTTAGAAACCCATTTCCTGCTCCAGAGTCACCTCTGTGCGCGTCATGGATTTTAGATGAATGTCATTTAAATCTATTCTTCAGATATTAAATCAGATTGAATAAAGGATTTGTATTCCTCCAGTTTCCCTTCATGCTGCATTTACACGGACCAATAAAAGCACCTCAGTTTGGGAACCTGGCAACACGTCCAGAGCTCAGAGAGAGAGATCAATGGAGTCTGTAGACTGATCTGGAGATGAGGCATGAAGCTCAATAACTGCTACATCATGTTGGTTTACTCCATACAGAAAGCTTAATAAAGAGTGGTGAGGTGCATCAAAGTGTGGGAACCTTTTTCCTCTCAACGGCCATTTCAATTTCTTCAACATCCTCCGAGGGCCGTACAAATTATTGACCTCTGCTTAAAAATACTAAAATCACAGCCCATTCATTTGGCCTTTCTTTCATGCTGTGCAAAGAAAAAGAAACCTCTGAATCCAGATATCTCACCATGACTCGCATATGCACGTGCACGGTGTGGCATGCATGCACGTGCACGGTGTGGCATGACCACCACAACAGAAAGATATGGACACAAGATGTGTGCAATTTAGTTTCCTATCCATGTGAACATGATTTAAGTGGGGGGGGACCTAACCTCCTCTAGGGGGGTCCTCACCTCCTCTAGGGGGGTCCTCACCTCCTCTAGGGGGTCCGGGGGCATGCTCCCCCGGGAAGATTTGTTTTTAAAGTTGAAGTTCAAAGCATCAATCTGGTGCACTTTGAGAGCAACATTAGGAGATCTATGGAAACATCTCTCAACATATGAAACACAACTGGAAGCAGATTTTCTTTATGGATATTTTACAAATCACTCTCCTTTCAAACTGTATTCTTGTTTATTAATAACAACTTGTTTTTACTGTCATATAGTATTTTATACCTGTTTACTTTATTCTCTTATTTTTTTATAACTATAATGATCACATAAAGATGTGCCTTTACCTCACTGGTTGTAGAAAAAGCTTCTTATATCCGTTAGCATAGCTAGCTAACCAGATGCTAATAACAGCAAAGGTATTGACTGTGTGATCAGTATGACAGATGAACAGATCTCCTCTGGGCTTTCAGCTAAAGACACAGCCACGCAGAAACTGCGCCATGTGTACGGCTCCTTACGGGTACTGACATGTGTGAAGTGCAGGAGCGGCGCTCTGGTGCTCTCCGTCAGAACTGCACCCCTGTCACACGAGACATATACCACGTGATGACACGTTAGGCTCGTGTTGTGTTCAAGGACCCTGACCTAACCCAGGAAAAACAGGCACTCGCTTTTTTAATTATTTTGCGGTCTAGATTTCTTAAATTTTTTTCTTTTTTGCGTGTGTTTATAAATTACCTCGAGGGCCGTACCAAATGGTCTCGCGGGCCGTATACGGCCCGGGGGCCGGAGGTTCCCCACCCCTGCCTTAAAGGGACAATCATGATATTTATTAGAGAGTCATTCTTAAAGCACGTCTGAGACCCCAGAGATGCAGATCAATGAATGCACTTCTGGAAATGAGGCATTGATTATTATTATTATTATATCAATAACTGGCAAATCATGTTTGTTTGCTCCGTACAAAAAGCTTAATAAAGAGTGGTGACAAAGAAATACAAAGTACACCCAAAATATCAAAGTACTTATTTGTGAGTAATTCTTAAAGGTCTCCTATTATACTATTTTTACACATATATTATATATCTCAAATATATAAAACACATGTCTCTGAAGTGTCCTGCTCCAAACCCCAAACAGATCATTGTAGCCTCGTCCCCCTCTGTCTCAGCTGTTACTAAAGAGATGACTCTCTTTCTCTCTCACGGGTTTACCACAAGGTGAGTTCCTTTTATATCCGTATAAAAGCCATCAGAAAGTGCATTTAGCATAATAGGAGACCTTTACCTGTGTCCCGCAGAGCTTTTTGTACGGAGTAAACTAACATGATTTGCCAGTTATTGATATAATAACTGGCAAATCAATGCCTCATTTCCAGAAGTGCATTCATTGATCTGCATCTCTGGGGTCTCGGACGTGCTTTCAGAGAGGTGTGAAAGTACTCCTGTAAAGGGACATGATCTGTATTATTGAGTGATTCTTAGAGCCGTTCTGATTGGTTGACTGATTCTGACCTGAGTCTCCTAGGCTGCCCACTGACGGGCTGTCGGAGGACGATCTGGACCTGTCTCCCCCCGCTGTGTTCGGGGCTGCAGACGGGGGCTTCTGATTGGTCGGTTGAGGCTCTGGGTCGGGGGGGGGGGCGCTGGCTGACGGCAGGACGCCCCCCCCTGCAGGAAGACGCCGAACACAGGCTCGCCAGCTGAGGCTGAAACACAACAGAGAGTTTAAAGGCAAGGCAACGAGGTGCGTCACTCTTTAGTGTCCCCTGGTCTCCCAGCTGTGTGCGTCACTCTTTAGTGTCCCCTGGTCTCCCAGCTGTGTGCGTCACTCTTTAATGTCCCCTGGTCTCCCAGCTGTGTGCGTCACTCTTTAGTGTCCCCTGGTCTCCAGCTGTGTGCGTCACTCTTTAATGTCCCCTGGTCTCCCAGCTGTGTGCCTCACTCTTTAGTGTCCCCTGGTCTCCCAGCTGTGTGCGTCTCTCTTTAGTGTCCCCTGGTCTCCGAGCTGTGTGCGTCACTCTTTAGTGTCCCCTGGTCTCCAGCCGTGTGCGTCACTCTTTAGTGTCCCCTGGTCTCCCAGCTGTGTGCCTCACTCTTTAGTGTCCCCTGGTCCTCCCAGCTGTGGTGCGTCTCTCTTTAGTGTCCCCTGGTCTCCGAGCTGTGTGCGTCACTCTTTAGTGTCCCCTGGTCTCCAGCCGTGTGCGTCACTCTTTAGTGTCCCCTGGTCTCCCAGCTGTGTGCGTCACTCTTTAGTGTCCCCTGGTCTCACAGCTGTGTGTGTCACTCTTTAGTGTCCCCTGGTCTCCCAGCTGTGTGCGTCACTCTTTAGTGTCCCCTGGTCTCCCAGCCGTGTGCGTCACTCTTTAGTGTCCCCTGGTCTCCTAGCTGTGTGCGTCACTCTTTAGTGTCCCCTGGTCTCCCAGCCGTGTGCGTCACTCTTTAGTGTCCCCTGGTCTCCCAGCCGTGTGCGTCACTCTTTAGTGTCCCCTGGTCTCCCAGCTGTGTGCGTCACTCTTTAGTGTCCCCTGGTCTCCCAGCTGTGTGCGTCACTCTTTAGTGTCCCCTGGTCTCACAGCTGTGTGCGTCACTCTTTAGTGTCCCCTGGTCTCCCAGCTGTGTGCGTCACTCTTTAGAGTCCCCTGGTCTCCCAGCTGTGTGCGTCACTCTTTAGAGTCCCCTGGTCTCCTAGCTGTGTGCGTCACTCTTTAGTGTCCCCTGGTCTCCTAGCTGTGTGCGTCACTCTTTAGTGTCCCCTGGTCTCCTAGCTGTGTGCGTCACTCTTTAGTGTCCCCTGGTCTCCTAGCTGTGTGCGTCACTCTTTAGAGTCCCCTGGTCTCCTAGCTGTGTGCGTCACTCTTTAGAGTCCCCTGGTCTCCTAGCTGTGTGCGTCACTCTTTAGTGTCCCCTGGTCTCCCAGCTGTGTGCGTCACTCTTTAGTGTCCCCTGGTCTCCTAGCTGTGTGCGTCACTCTTTAGTGTCCCCTGGTCTCCTAGCTGTGTGCGTCACTCTTTAGTGTCCCCTGGTCTCCTAGCTGTGTGCGTCACTCTTTAGTGTCCCCTGGTCTCCTAGCTGTGTGCGTCACTCTTTAGAGTCCCCTGGTCTCCTAGCTGTGTGCGTCACTCTTTAGAGTCCCCTGGTCTCCTAGCTGTGTGCGTCACTCTTTAGTGTCCCCTGGTCTCCTAGCTGTGTGCGTCACTCTTTAGTGTCCCCTGGTCTCCTAGCTGTGTGCGTCACTCTTTAGTGTCCCCTGGTCTCCCAGCTGTGTGCGTCACTCTTTAGTGTCCCCTGGTCTCCTAGCTGTGTGCGTCACTCTTTAGTGTCCCCTGGTCTCCTAGCTGTGTGCGTCACTCTTTAGAGTCCCCTGGTCTCCTAGCTGTGTGCGTCACTCTTTAGTGTCCCCTGGTCTCCCAGCTGTGTGCGTCACTCTTTAGTGTCCCCTGGTCTCCTAGCTGTGTGCGTCACTCTTTAGAGTCCCCTGGTCTCCTAGCTGTGTGCGTCACTCTTTAGAGTCCCCTGGTCTCCTAGCTGTGTGCGTCACTCTTTAGTGTCCCCTGGTCTCCCAGCTGTGTGCGTCACTCTTTAGTGTCCCCTGGTCTCCCAGCTGTGTGCGTCACTCTTTAGTGTCCCCTGGTCTCCTAGCTGTGTGCGTCACTCTTTAGTGTCCCCTGGTCTCCTAGCTGTGTGCGTCACTCTTTAGTGTCCCCTGGTCTCCCAGCTGTGTGCGTCACTCTTTAGTGTCCCCTGGTCTCCCAGCTGTGTGCGTCACTCTTTAGTGTCCCCTGGTCTCCCAGCTGTGTGCGTCACTCTTTAGTGTCCCCTGGTCTCCCAGCTGTGTTAAATATTTGTTGTTGTTTTTCAGAAAAAGTGAGAATTTTAAGATTTTCAGAAAAAAGTTGTTTTTATATCTGCATCCTTTCTGAAGCTGCAGCACGTTCCTCCTGATGCACGAGTTAAAGGGGCGTTGTGTTTGCAACCTGTGGGCCTCCGTAAGCCAGCGCTCTAGATGTAACACTTATATAATATACTTGTCTTTCATCCATTCTTTATAACTAATGCTGTTGATGTATTGTGATTTGAAAAATGTGTCTATTATCATCTGGAAATTAGCAATGTTGGCTAAAGCTGACCCGTTTACTGTTTTTTGTGACAGTTGATCAATGGGGACTGTCCACGACAATATACACAAATAAACTAAACTAAATATGAAGCCCCACTTTCTAAAGCTGTGGTTTTAAAGAGTTTAATTGGAGATATTTATAGTCCTGACCTGGTAGTCCCTCCTCCACTGGGCCTCGCTCTGGCCCACCAGCTCCTGGACCTTGGCCCTCCTCAGGGGGTTCTTGGGGGCCACGGAGCAGGGGTCGCTGGGGGTGAAGGCCCTGTTGGCGGGGTGGTGGTCTGAGATCTGGGTGGTGCTGTACGCTCTTCTCCTGGGAGACGTCTCACAGCCTGACAGAGACACATTCACACAGCTCACAATAATCTGTCTCTCACAAACAAGTTTCATTTGATTTGTGAACAAGAGACAACAATAGATACGGTTCAGATGGACTTCACTAAAGGCTTCAAAAGATAAGACAATGATAGTCCTGCAGACCCCTCAGATGTTTGTTAAAATCATTGTAACCTAAATATAAAAGTGAACATTTGAAGAGTCGACTGTTTTCTGGTGAATTTTCTGGTTTTTAAGCCGCATTTAAGTTTATTTTGTTTTGTTTCTGTTTGTTTACATTCCTCCTGATGCACATTTAAAAAAAGCACTCATGAACAAATTCCTGTTCTGTTCAAATACAACGGTAGCCCTTTGTGGCAGAATGCCCATAAAGGATCCCTGAGTGTAAAAAGGGTTATGATGAGTGTCACTGTTGTTATAGACTCCTGGATGTCTCCTCACCTCCAGGGTCCTGCTCTGGGGGGGTCAGGGGGTCCCTGAAGGACTCGCTCTCCCCTCCGGTCCTCAGAGGATCCTCCTCCTGAGAGTGGAAAAACACCGAGCTGGCCGACTCCACGGAGCGCATCATGGAGTATCTCCTCCTCTTATCCTGGACAGACGTTACAGACACAAGATTAAAAAGATTCTTCACAAAATCTCACAAAGAAGATCTCTCTCTACGGAGGCGACACACATCTATAGAAGTCTGTGAGGAAATGTTCCTACTTCTCTCTTTATTACCTCAGATTGTAGAGAAGTCTATGAGGAAATGTTCCTACTCACAGATTTGGGCTTGTTGTGGTATCTGGTGGCGTCACAGACCACGCTGTATCCGATCAGACTGTCTCCAGGAAACAGGAAGTTGTTCCCCACCGGCGACAGCAGAACCTCTTTAGTCTCCGGAAACAGCCACTCGATGGAGATATCAGTGAGGACCGGACACATGGTCTTCTTCAGGGACTTTATCATCTGTGGACAGAGGTGGGAAGTAACTAAGTGCATTTACTTAAGTACAATTTGTAGCTACTTGTACTTTACTTGAGTATTTCCATGTTATGCTACTGTGTACTTCTATACTGCACTACAGTTCAGAGGTACATGGTGTACTTCTATACTCCACTACAGTTCAGAGGTACATGGTGTACTTCTATACTCCACTACAGTTCAGAGGTACATGGTGTACTTCTACTCCACTACAGTTCAGAGGTACATGGTGTACTTCTACTCCACTACAGTTCAGAGGTACATGGTGTACTTCTACTCCACTACAGTTCAGAGGTACATGGTGTACTTCTACTCCACTACAGTTCAGAGGTACATGGTGTACTTTTCCTCCACTACATGTATTTAATACCTTTAGTTACTTCACAGATGTGGATGAATGATGTGAAATATAACCAAGTGTTAAATCAGACTTTAGTTCCACCTGGAGTAAATCCACAAGCTACCCTGCAGTATACAAAGTCATTCAAACTAGCTGCACCTTTACCAGCTTTGAGAACACTTTCATGATCAATCATTATAAAACATATCATATATATTATTCTGAAATGGACCAATCTGCACAATGACTACTTTTACTGTACTTTCACTATATTTTGATGAGAATACTTTTATACTTTCACTTGAGGAACATTTTGAATAGAGGACTTTCACTGGAACAGAGTATTCCTACACTCTGGTACTTCTACTTTTACTCAAGTACAAGATCTGAGTACTTCTACTTTTACTGAAGTACAAGATCTGAGTACTTCTACTTTTACTCAAGTACAATATCTGAGTACTTCTACTTTTACTGAAGTACAAGATCTGAGTACTTCTACTTTTACTCAAGTACAAGGTCTGAGTACTTCTACTTTTACTCAAGTACAAGATCTGAGTACTTATACTTTTACTAAGTACAAGATCTGAGTACTTCTACTTTTACTCAAGTACAAGAACTGAGTACTTCTACTTTTACTCTAGTACAATATCTGAGTACTTCTACTTTTACTCGAGTACAAGATCTGAGTACTTATACTTTTACTAAGTACAAGATCTGAGTACTTCTACTTTTACTCAAGTACAAGAACTGAGTACTTCTACTTTTACTCTAGTACAATATCTGAGTACTTCTACTTTTACTCAAGTACAAGATCTGAGTACTTCTACTTTTACTCAAGTACAAGATCTGAGTACTTCTACTTTTACTAAGTACAAGAACTGAGTACTTCTACTTTTACTCTAGTACAATATCTGAGTACTTCTACTTTTACTCAAGTACAAGATCTGAGTACTTCTACTTTTACTCAAGTACAAGATCTGAGTACTTCTACTTTTACTAAGTACAAGATCTGAGTACTTCTACTTTTACTCAAGTACAAGATCTGAGTACTTCTACTTTTACTCAAGTACAAGAACTGAGTACTTCTACTTTTACTCAAGTACAAGATCAGAGTACTTCTACTTTCACTCAAGTACAAGACCTGAGTACTTCTACTTTTACTCAAGTACTAGATGTGAGTACTTGTACTTTTACTCAAGTACAAGATCTGAGTACTTGTACTTTTACTCAAGTACAAGATCTGAGTACTTCTACTTTTACTCAAGAACAAGATCTGAGTACTTCTACTTTTACTCAAGTACAAGAACTGAGTACTTCTACTTTTACTCAAGTACAAGACCTGAGTACTTCTACTTTTACTCAAGTACAAGAACTGAGTACTTCTACTTTTACTCAAGTACAATATCTGAGTACTTTTACTTTTACTCAAGTACAAGATCTGAGTACTTCTACTTTTACTAAAGTACAAGACCTGAGTACTTCTACTTTTACTCAAGTACAAGATCTGAGTACTTCTACTTTTACTAAAGTACAAGACCTGAGTACTTCTACTTTTACTCTAGTACAAGATATGAGTACTTGTACTTTTACTCAAGTACAAGATCTGAGTACTTCTACTTTTACTAAAGTACAAGACCTGAGTACTTCTACTTTTACTCTAGTACAAGATATGAGTACTTGTACTTTTACTCAAGTACAAAATCTGATACTGGATGATTACCTTGGGCTGCAGCCTCTCTCCCTCAGACAGGAACTCTGCGTTTCCTCTGGACACGGCGGCCAGGCCGAGAACCAGCCGCCTGCAGGCCGTCAGCCCGAGGCCGAACGTGAAGCACCTGCAGAGAGAGACCATTAATCAAAGGAAGTTGTTGACGATGCCATCTTAGGGTAGGAATACCGTGAACATAGTTTACCACATGACGAAGGAATAAATACACACACACACCGTCGGCGTTGCTTCAACCGGAAGTGACACGTTTTATTGCGCATGTCCATTTTATCACGGCAATACAGGAAGTGACTTTTAGTATAAGGGTATAAAATAAACTGATTCATATCTTATAATGCAACACCCCCACTTACTCTTATGCTGCACACATTCTCAACATAAATTCAATGTAAACAACTTGCACAATAACACATGTGTTTTTAAACTTCTGGGGTTATTTACATTCCAAACAAATACTTTACATATTTTTCACTTTGGACCTTTGTTGCACGTTTTAGTGAAACTATCAGCAACCATGTCATCTGGAGGGCAATAGTCAAAGGGTATCATCTTTATAAAAGGTATTCTGCTTTAATTGCACTTTTTATTTGTCTTCTATGCATATATTTTAATGTATGTTCCTGTAGAGCAGCGGTTTTCAACCTTTTTACCTCAGGGCCCACTAAAGAATCTAAAATGTTTGCAGCCCACATTCAACTATAAACAATACGGAGGCTAAATACATTTCTGATTGGTCGATTCAGAACATGTGACAGGTTGTTAATCCAGTAGAACAGACCGCTGCTAAGGACTGTAATGACCGTTACTAAGGACTGTAATGACCGTTACTAAGGACTGTAATGACCGATGCCAAAGACTGTAATGACTGTTGCCAAGGACTGTAATCACCGTTGCCAAGGACTATAATGACTGTTGCCAAGGACTATAATGACCGTTGCCAAGGACTATAATGACCGTTGCCAAGGACTGTAATGACCGTTGCCAAGGACTGTAATGACCGTTGCCAAGGACTGTAATGACCGTTACTAAGGACTGTAATGACCGTTGCCAAGGATTGTAATGACCGTTGCCAAGGACTGTAATGACCGTTGCTAAGGACTGTAATGACCGTTACTAAGGACTGTAATGACCGTTGCCAAGGACTGTAATGACTGTTGCCAAGGACTATAATGACCGTCCCAAGGACTGTAATGACCGTTGCCAAGGACTGTAATGACCGTTGCCAAGGACTGTAATGATGTTGCTAAGGACTGTAATGACTGTTGCCAAGGACTATAATGACCGTTACTAAGGACTGTAATGACCGTTGCCAAGGACTGTAATGACTGTTGCCAAGGACTATAATGACCGTTGCCAAGGACTGTAATGACCGTTGCCAAGGACTGTAATGACCGTTGCCAAGGATTGTAATGACCGTTGCCAAGGACTGTAATGACCGTTGCTAAGGACTGTAATGACCGTTACTAAGGACTGTAATGACCGTTGCCAAGGACTGTAATGACCGATGCCAAGGACTGTAATGACTGTTGCCAAGGACTATAATGACCATTGCCAAGGACTGTAATGACTGTTACTAAGGACTGTAATGGCCGTTACTAAGGACTGTAATGACTGTTGCCAAGGACTGTAATGACCGTTGCTAAGGACTGTAATGATGTTGCTAAGGAGGATCAAGAAAGAGAAAGGAGGTTCAAATAAAAAAGAAATCATAATAATGAAATGTTTCCACACAAATCATAATGTTTTGCTAATTATTTGGCGTCCCACAGGTTGGGACCCGCTGCTTTAGAGCAATAAGAGCCTGCACTGCTTTCTTTAAAATGTCTCTTTTTATTTTACTGCTCTTAATCTTCTGAACTCTTTTTTCTCTGTATGATTTTAAAGCAATTATACATTTATCTTTTCATTTGGATTGAATTTGGAGAATGTTATCAGTACTTCTTTAGATGTAATCATTGTTTTTAACTTATTAACTAATCCTGCCAGTAATTAAAGGTCTTTCAAAGGTTTATATTTGTGTCTGATTATATTTATTAGTCTGTGTTTCTGCTCGTTAAAACACTTTGTGAGGCAGGTTTGTATGAAAGATAAGATATACTTGATCAACCTTAAATTGGGAAATGTCGTCGTTGCAGCAGCATTTCAAACAAGTATTGGACATAATTAGAAATAAAAAAGAGTAGAAAATGTACAATTATTCAATATAAACATCTTAAAACAGCAGATCAAACATGTGAGTGACCATGAAGCTGGAATCTGAAGAGTTAAATGACAGCTGAGGGAATATAAAGAGGGATATTATGAACCTTGAGTGTGCAGAGTGAAGCTGAGTTTCTGATGGATGCACTGAAACATGCATACATTTGGTTTCCTGATCGCACGTCTATATGGTTCATCGATGTGTTTGTGCTCAGAGAAAAAGAGTAAAGAGTACATTCATGAATGTCTTGTAATATAACCAGATGCCACAAAAAGATATCAATACCAATATCTGTGGAGCACGTTTGTTTCCACAGATAACATTTAAAAGCTTTATTTCTTCTCCTCCTCCTCTGAGCTCCCAGAATGCCTTGCAGCGTCGCTCTAATGTCCGCGGGTTAAAGGGAAATGTCGCCTTGCATAATAAATAATAATCCTTCACGTAATGACTCGGGAAGTGAGCTCTGAGTCCCTAATGCAATCATCCATCAGAAAGAGGGGGGGTCAATTACCTCCAGAGACCGAGGTCCGTGTTTCTACTCCTTTGCTCTGAAAGCTTCCGGATGAATCCTCTGATCCTCCTGATCCTTCAGAGCTCTTCATTATTAAAGGTTTCACAGAGAGGCTCTCTGTCCGTCTCCTGACCCTGATGCGCCCCTCACTCTGGGACAGGGTCTGGACTCATTGATCTGGTTTTAATAACTTGGGCAATTTTTAACCTTAAGCAGTTTCAGCAATCTCCTTAAAATAACATAACATGCTTTTTCTATAACATATGAATCACTGCAGTAATTATACAATGGAAGGCTCTCTCTGATTGGCTCAGTTAAATCCAGGTGGGGTTTTTTTCTTTTGGACGGGCAGTCTGTCGCTGCTTAAGGACGGTGGTGGCGAAGTCCATAGGGACTTGGCTTGGCAACTGGAAGGTCACCAGTTCAAGTCCCGGAAAGACCAAGTGCTACCGAGGTGTCCCTGAGCAAGGCAGCGTTCCCTTCACTGCTCCCCTGGCGCCGTACATAATGGCAGCCCACTGCTCAAGGAACTTGGACTGGGAGCCGTAGGGTCGCCGGTTCAAGCCCCCGAACAGACCTAAATATGGAGTGTGGACTGCTACTTGGAGAGGTCCCAGTTCACCTCCTGCCCTGCCGTGGTGCCCTTGAGCAAGGCAATAGGGGAGCTTTAAGGGACATCTACAGGTTGAACACACTACAGGTGAATATAAAACTGACTAACTAACATATATCACCACAAATGACCCCCCTTTATATAATATACCTCTCTAATATACACCCCCCCCCCCCTCAGTACCTGATGGAGCGGGCCTGGCTCCGGATCAGCTCGATGACGGCCCCCGTGTTGCGGACCGCTCCATCAGTGATGAGGAACAGGAGGCGGGGGTGTCCTCTGAAGGAGGGCTGACGGAGGATCCAGATCAGGGGGTTCAGGACGTTGGTTCCTCCCATGTCGCCCCGGAGCCTCCGGACGTATTCAGAGGCCTGGACCAGGTTCTCCTGAGGGGGGGGGGCATGTAGAGGGATATTAAACTGGTGTTGGGAAGATAGTGAATGTCCTCCTCCAACATGAGAGTCACATGATAACAAAGGTATCAACTGTAGCTGTGAACATGACAGGATGTGTGATTACCTAGAAGAGCATCAGGACTGTTTGAGGCATATGATAGCTATGTGATGAACATGATGATTCAGCCTCTATGGAGATAGACATATGACAAGCATGCTCATTTCTGACGTGGAGCTAATCTGAAGTAAACATTGAATACTGCTTTCTATTCCTCCATCTTGTGACTGTGTAACTCCCTCTCTTGGATATCAGCATGTGAAGGACACTGTTCAGGAACTAGTTGATGCTCTGTATGTGATGACTACTTCCATTCTGGAGAGGATCACACATACATGGATCCTGAGGTTGAAGCTCAAGCCGGGGACCAGGGAGAGTTTCTAACACTAACTGGCTTATCTTCTGGAAGTACCGTATCGACCCGAATATAATACAGGACCTGGATGAGTTCAGCTTTACCTCCTCGTAGCTCTGGCTGGTCGGGAACAGGGGCTTGAAGGTGGACCCGAAGCCGATGATGTTGAAGAGGCAGCCGGGCAGCAGACTCTTCAGGATCAGAACCATGGCGTCCTGCACACACACACACACACTTCAGATATACAACATGTCTGCTAGAGGTATCAGCTGTTCTGTCTCTGTAAAGGCCCTGACACACCAAGCAGTCACCAGAGAACTCGCCGACGCCGACTGTTGCCTCGCCGAGTTCTCCTGTGTCTTGGCCATGTGTCGCACTGGAACACACCACAAAGACTTCAGCCGAGCACGTACGAACTGCTCATGCGTGAGTGGCAATAACTCTCCTTACCAGCAGGCGGCGGTAGTGTGTATTCGTCATTCAAAAGAGGCAACAACCGGAAGACAGAGAAGAAGAACAGACTGATATAAACAAACAACACATAGCGTGTGCGTTCCATCTATCAGCCATTGGGGTGTTGCTTGTGGAAGACATTCTCAAGCAACCGTTTCGCTTCTCATGCACTGATTCGCTAGCTGAACAGCCAATCAGAGTGATTTCTTTGTCCGACTGCCTGTGGCCGACGCACGGCCGATTCGACATGTTGAATCGGCCGTGCGTGTTAACTTGTCCCCAGCCTCTCATTATCTTTATTACATGGTTTAGTTGAATACTGGATTCTGATTGGTCAATTCGGAACACGTGACACGTTGTTAATCCAGAACAGACAGACCGCTGTCAAGGACTTATTGACCGTTGTTAAGGATGCTCACATCTGCACAAACAAGTCCGTTCGATTTATCTGTATACAGTTTGGCCGAAAAGCAAACTGCATACAGTTTGCTTTTCTAACTGACAAGACAAGAGCGACAAGACAAGAGCGACAAGACAAGAGTGACAAGACAAGAGCGACAAGACAAGAGCGACAAGAAAACAGCGGAGAAGTAACGGGCAGAAACCCTCCTTTTTACGCAGCGGTCCAGACATAGACATCAGACGGCGACACATATTCAGTGTGCAGTTACTTTGGCATTAGGGCAGGGGTATCTAGATCCTTCCAAAGGTCTGACATCATGAAGTGTGCTACTTTTAAAGCAAGCAACGATGTTTTCAAATCTGTAATCAAAAAGCTCCGCCTTCCTGCCGTTGCTACGTTAGTTCAAACGGTAACAACGGACTATTTTTCTTAGCGGATGCATGTCAATTTAAATCAATACAACTATTTTTTAAATCAATAAAATCATTTTCTAAATCCATAAAAGCATTTCAATGAATAGTGGGAGTCATATCGTTACTTTGTTGAGAATGTGGCCATGTAAGGGCTCCTGATCAGCCTGTCGGTGTTCTTTTCCCCATAATGACCGCGTCACTGCACATTATCCCTTACATAATACCCGGTCAGCATTTCTAAAGAGACGTCATTATGTTAAAGTGGAGTCAGACCTCGGAGATGATTCTTCCATCAGTTGAAACTCACTTTGTTCACGAACAGAAATACATCTTGAACTTTACATTATTTCTGTCCTGCAGTCAGTAGCTTGGCAACAGGACAAGTTATTTTAAGGTAAGAAATAAACACAGTTGTTAGGTCGAAGATATCTGGAGATCATTTCACAAAATAATCTCTTTATGTCTTTTGAAACATTGTTACGCTGAGCTCACCAGCTTTATCTGATATCTGTCTTTGTGAAGCACTTCGGTGCTTTTTAAAGTCCCAGAAGTCTCGCTCTTTTCTGTAAATCTCCAAATTAAGATTTTATTCAATTTTTGAAAATTGCAGAATCCCTAAATTTACCCTAAATCGCCCGAATTCTTGCTTTTTTCTGATAATCTCACATTTCTGACTTCTTTGTGAAACTCAACATTCTCACTTTTTCCTGTAAATCTGTAAAAGGCCCCAAATTCTCGCTTTTATTCAGAAAATCAAAAAATGTTGATTTTTATTCAGAAAATCAAAAAAAATTGAGTTTTTTATGAAAATCTCAGAATTCTATTTTTTTTTTTACTTCTCACCTTTTTCTGTAAATCACAACAATTTGAAAATCTCAGAATTCTCTATTTTTTTCATAATTTCTCTAAATTCAGATTTTGATCTTAAAATCTAAGTATTCCAACTATTTAAAAAAAATCACAAAATTCTTGCTTTTTTATGAACATTTCTGAATTCTAACTTATTTGTATGTTTTCTAAACGCTGCATGTGTTTTTGCTGAAGATGTTTCTTCATGTGGAACATTTGTGTTTCTGTATCTGCATCCTTTCTGAAGCTGCTTCTCCTGATGGAGAGACTTGGAGGAGTCGCTGTCGAGCTTTACAACATGTTATAAAGCAGGTGAATTGTTCCACACTGTTTCCTTCAAGAGCAGGTCAGATCATCTATACCCAGCTTCCTGTTCCTCTAGACTGTCCCTGATCCATGTCTCACATAAACCTCTCCTCTAGACTGTCCCTGATCCATGTCTCACATAAACCTCTCCTGCAGACTGTCCCTGATCCATGTCTCACATATACCTGACACCTGTTTAAGGTGTGTGTTGTCACAGGTGTTTAAGGTGTGTGTTGTCACAGGTGTTTGAGGTGTGTGTTGTCACAGGTGTTTAAGGTGTGTGTTGTCACAGGTGTTGAGGTGTGTGTTGTACAGGGTTGAGGTGTGTGTTGTCACAGGTGTTTGAGTGTGTGTCACAGGTGTTTGAGGTGTGTTTGTCACAGGTGTTTGAGGTGTGTGTTGTCACAGGTATTTAAGGTGTGTGTTGTCACAGGTGTTTGAGGTGTGTCACAGGTGTTTGAGGTGTGTGTTGTCACAGGTGTTTGAGGTGTGTCACAGGTGTTTGAGGTGTGTGTTGTCACAGGTGTTTGAGGTGTGTGTTGTCACAGGTGTTTGAGGTGTGTGTTGTCACAGGTATTTAAGGTGTGTGTTGTCACAGGTATTTAAGGTGTGTGTTGTCACAGGTGTTTGAGGTGTGTGTTGTCACAGGGTTTGAGGTGTGTGTTTCACAGGTGTTGAGGTGTGTGTTGTCACAGGTGTTTGAGGTGTGTGTTGTCACAGGTGTTTGAAGTGTGTCACAGGTGTTTGAGGTGTGTGTTGTCACAGGTGTTTGAGGTGTGTGTTGTCACAGGTGTTTGAGGTGTGTGTTGTCACAGGTGTTGTTGAGGTGTGTGTTGTCACAGGTGTTGTTGAGGTGTGTGTTGTCACAGGTGTTTGAGGTGTGTGTTGTCACAGGTGTTGTTGAGGTGTGTGTTGTCACAGGTGTTTGAGGTGTGTGTTGTCACAGGTGTTTAAGGTGTGTGTTGTCACAGGTGTTTAAGGTGTGTGTTGTCACAGGTGTTTGAGGTGTGTGTTGTCACAGGTGTTTGAGGTGTGTGTTGTCACAGGTGTTGAGGTGTGTGTTGTCACAGGTGTTTGAGGTGTGGTTGTCACAGGTGTTTGAGTGTGTGTTGTCACAGGTGTTTAGGTGTGTGTTGTCACAGGTGTTTAAGGTGTGTGTTGTCACAGGTGTTTGAGGTGTGTGTTGTCACAGGTGTTTGAGGTGTGTGTTGTCACAGGTGTTTAAGGTGTGTGTTGTCACAGGTGTTTGAGGTGTGTCACAGGTGTTTGAGGTGTGTGTTGTCACAGGTATTTAAGGTGTGTGTTGTCACAGGTGTTTGAGGTGTGTGTTGTCACAGGTGTTTGAGGTGTGTGTTGTCACAGGTGTTTGAGGTGTGTGTTGTCACAGGTGTTTGAGGTGTGTGTTGTCACAGGTGTTTGAGGTGTGTGTTGTCACAGGTGTTTGAGTGTGTGTTTGTCACAGGTGTTTGAGGTGTGTCACAGGGTTTGAGGTGTGTGTTGTCACAGGTGTTTGAGGTGTGTCACAGGTGTTTGAGGTGTGTGTTGTTACAGGTGTTTAAGGTGTGTGTTGTCACAGGTGTTTGAGGTGTGTGTTGTCACAGGTGTTTGAGGTGTGTGTTGTCACAGGTGTTTAAGGTGTGTGTTGTCACAGGTGTTTAAGGTGTGTGTTGTCACAGGTGTTTGAGGTGTGTGTTGTCACAGGTGTTTGAGGTGTGTGTTGTCACAGGTGTTTGAGGTGTGTGTTGTCACAGGTGTTTAAGGTGTGTGTTGTCACAGGTGTTTGAGGTGTGTGTTGTCACAGGTGTTTAAGTGTGTGTTGTTACAGGGTGTGAGGTGTGTGTTGTCACAGGTGTTTTGAGGTGTGTGTTGTCACAGGTGTTTGAGGTGTGTGTTGTCACAGGTGTTTGAGGTGTGTGTTGTCACAGGTGTTTAAGGTGTGTGTTGTCACAGGTGTTTAAGGTGTGTGTTGTCACAGGTGTTTGAGGTGTGTGTTGTCACAGGTGTTTGAGGTGTGTGTTGTCACAGGTGTTTGAGGTGTGTGTTGTCACAGGTGTTTGAGGTGTGTGTTGTTACAGGTGTTTGAGGTGTGTGTTGTCACAGGTGTTTGAGGTGTGTGTTGTCACAGGTGTTTGAGGTGTGTGTTGTCACAGGTGTTTGAGGTGTGTGTTGTCACAGGTGTTTGAGGTGTGTGTTTGTCACAGGTGTTTGAGGTGTGTGTTGTCACAGGTGTTTGAGGTGGTGTGTTGTCACAGGTGTTTTAAGGTGTGTTGTCACAGGTGTTTGAGGTGTGTGTTGTCACAGGTGTTTGAGGTGTGTGTTGTCACAGGTGTTTGAGGTGTGTGTTGTCACAGGTGTTTGAGGTGTGTGTTGTCACAGGTGTTTGAGGTGTGTCACAGGTGTTTGAGGTGTGTGTTGTCACAGGTATTTAAGGTGTGTGTTGTCACAGGTGTTTGAGGTGTGTGTTGTCACAGGTGTTTGAGGTGTGTGTTTGTCACAGGTGTTTGAGGTGTGTGTTGTCACAGGTGTTTGAGGTGTGTGTTGTCACAGGTGTTGTGAGGTGTGTGTTGTCACAGGTGTTTGAGGTGTGTGTTGTCACAGGTTTTGAGGTGTGTGTTGTCACAGGTGTTTGAGGTGTGTTGTCACAGGTGTTTGAGGTGTGTGTTGTCACAGGTGTTTGAGGTGTGTGTTGTCACAGGTGTTTGAGGTGTGTGTTGTCACAGGTGTTGTTGAGGTGTGTGTTGTCACAGGTGTTTGAGGTGTGTGTTGTCACAGGTGTTTGAGGTGTGTGTTG